TCGGAAGACATGATTCACGTATATGTGAGATTAAGATGAAGTTGCCTGTATTTGTACTGTACATAATGTAGCCGCACTACCAAAAAACAATTAAAGCATCCTTCTTGTCATACTGTCCTGGTATTAATGACAGATTCTACCAATAGGGCCAAGTCAAATGATCACCTGAGTCCCCATCGTACCCCGTGTGAGACATCTCAGAGACGACTCCTTTATTTGGTCCTCTGAATGCAGGTTCATGAGAACTGTGTGTGTGTGTGCGCGTGTGTGTGTAGTGTATGTGAATGTCAGTTTCTCTGCATTCCTACAGCAGGGTTGGAAAATGAATCAGTTCCATTTTTAAGTTTCTGTTTGATTGGACCTTTTCTGTTGTTTCTTTTTTTCTTCTGTGATCAAATTTCTGTCTTTCTCAGTGTATGTCAGTCAGCCTGTCTCCATTTGAAGGTGTTTCTCATTTTTCTCACCAGCCTCTGCACAAGTATCTCAACTGTCCAGCATCTAAATTCCAGTGCATCAGTATATGTACATAAACATTATGTATATATATATATGTAAAATCTGATTTGCCAGTTCTGCTGTGTTCAATACTTTATTGAAATGGTCTTGACTCTTTTTCTTTGCATTAAATATGTGGCTGAAGACAACTGTAAGTTTGTTGCTCAATATGTAACACTTAAACTGAAAATAAATATTGTACTACCAGACTCTATGAAATGGAAGGATGTGTCTGCAGTTTTTGGTGATATGTAGAAAACATTTTTGATTTATTTATTCTACAGTCATTTGGTATATCTACTGCCAGATACATAGGGTCCACAAACTGCCGTGTGTAATCTCAGTACAGAATTGCATATATATAAAATACGATGTTCTCTTGTTTTCATAATAAAGACAACTGAAATCAGTTTGAAAATAACTCTGGGACCAGTGTTTGCTGCATGTTAGAATTGTACTTAATTGTGCATCTATCTGTGAAGGTCTTGTCACAAGACAGTGACCGTAGATGTGTGCCTGTGGACACATGCACATTAGCTTAGTGAACCACATTTCTGAAGCTGCTGCATTTTGCTCTAGTTTCCAGTAAACACATGTCAGCAGGTTTGCAGGAAATCATACAAAGTTCCAGCTTACTGTTGTGCTTGGTTGACTGGTGGAAGACTGAATCATTGGATTGTCAGGCGAAAGGAAGGATCGAAGTGAGCACTTCCCTAAAACATGATATCGGAAATGTTAAATGGAACATGTCAAGTAGAAATACACTGACCCCCGTCTGATCAGATTGCCTTGAAACCTTTGAAGCAAATGCAGTTTACTCAATGTTCAACTGTTAACTATCCTAAAAGAAAATAACAGAGCAACTGAGAAAGGAAGTACAATTTTCACTGATTGCCAAGAGAATAGACATTTCTTGCCAAGTAAAATGAGGCAGGAGTATGATATAATAATTATACATAATAGTATAAATGCGGCACAAGTACATTGCAAAAGATAATAGGTGTGTTGAACAGTTTATTAATCCCCATGGAAATCATTGTGTTACAGCTTCTATGTCACATAAATCTAGCAAATGGATCAGAGAAGAAAGGAAAGGAGGAAAGGAGTTGATATAAAAGCTACAAATAATGGTAAGGAACATATAAGAGTTTGATGAAAGTGCTGAAGTGGAAGGGAAGAAAGATGTACAAAAAGGACAAACATAGGGAACAGAACGACAAATGAAGCTCATGTTTTATAGTCTGTTATATGTTGTCTAGGTCTGTGCCACCTCTGCTGGCACCCATCTGAAACTACAACAGCAGATGGGGATGGAGCGTCAGTGGCTGATGATATATATTCCATCAGAACAGTAAAATTAGACATTGTCATGAAGTTCGCTGACTCGTGAGCTTTTTAATAACCTTTATTCGGACTATGACAACAGCTCAACCGGTATTACCCACCATGCTCTAACTCTGGCTCACGGTGATCATAACAGAATCTTGTTCTGCTGCACACATACGCTCTGAAATATCTGAAACTACAGCGACCCCTAGTGTCTCCAACAGAACTGTAGATAAAACACATCACAGACATCAACAGTCAACCAGTCATTGGACTGTTGTACGCATGAGAACAGCCCCC